TCACTCTCACCACTCGACGTGGAGAGAGCTAGTAGTAGCAGAACCGCACCATCAGGCAACCATTAGAAATGAATGGTGGGCGGTGCCAATGATTGTAGGTTGGGCCAATGAGAAGAACGACGGCATCGTGGGCCTCCTCACTCGTTTTTGCGCCGCGAAAGTGGTGTAGTTGTTGCCTCTGCGGACCTGACTACCTGCTCACGGAAGGAGAGGAAAATCTCAACTGAAAGCGGACGCTGCCTCTTAAGTGAGTAATGAGTGCGTGGCAATCAATCCTCAGTAGCTAGCGAATGCGTAAATCGACATGAGTGATGGTCGTTTAAATTTCAGTGAGTCTCAGAGAGTGATGGTTACTTTGGGTTGCGCGACCTCACTGTTGAACCGTGAATCCTTTGAAGTTGCTTGAAATTATACGAAATGAAGTCGCTTTCTTTTTTGCGGGGTGGAGCGTATTTCGTATGCGAGACAAATTGCGCGAAAAGCGGCGCGTTATGACAATCGAGTTAGTGTTGTATTGGGTGACGGTTAGGAGAAAACGCTAAAACGATCATGATATTACGAAAACCTCATATTAGGGTTGTACCCTCTACCAATCCGATGAGTCTCAATTGGATTTGACTTCAACAAGCGAAAGGTCTTGCGTAAAGAGAAGAAATTCTTCAAAACACTGTAAAGTGAGATTACCACGAACATATGAGATGTGAATCCCACAAACGAATCGAACAAATGAAATATTTAAGGGGGGAATGCAGTGGGTGCAAATGATGATGATAATAATTAGTGAGAGTCGTCTGGAGTTTTGAATTTACCCGTTCGCGCGCACGCGTTCTCGTTGTGCGCTCAGAGCTCCAGCGGATTGATCGCCTGCGTTTAAACCGTTTATTTTCGCGCTAGTGCTGGCTACATTCTTATAGTTCTAGGACAATGAGTAAAAGATAACTGCGATGCGAAAATTGAATGCTGAGTAAATACATCATCACTGAAGAGTTCCTGATTAGGTAGAGAGCGCAAGCGAAACGATGTTGTGGTACGCAGTGTGCTCAGGGTACAGCATCGTTACGCAGAACCCATAGGAGGGGTCGTACTTGGCCGCTGGGGAGGGGGGTCGTATTCTCAGGGTCACTCAGAGCCGGGCAATGCTTCGACATTTCAGTTGATAGTGGGAGTGGAGCTATGGAAGCCAAGATGTTAAAAAAATGAAAATTATTATGAGTGTATTCTTTACAGATTTAACTGCTACGTTTAACAGCCCTCTTTTCATGCGAAATCCCCAGAAAGGGGATCGTACTTGGCCGCGGGGGACGTGGGGAGTATCGCAAAAGTAGGCTCGCTAGGCATCAAACAGTACAAAAGTGTCATTGCTAAGTTTGATGGAACGGACGGAAAGCTGCAGAAGACCCGGATGTAAGGAGGACTACAAAATAATAAAAAATTGATTAGCAATATAGCAACAATAGATGAATAAATAAATAGCAACAATAAATAGATCAATTTGAACTGAGCATGAACTAGTAAGTACGTAGATGACAACATAACCTCCTGAAAAGACCCCAGGACGCTGATAAGTTCAACAACCGCGCTTCAATGACGATTTTTCAATAAAAGAGGTCGCAACGTTGCGATCGATAATAGCCGAGTTTAGAACGATATACTACTGCCTGGATTTTTTTTCATTCGATTCCGCATTTTTTTTGTAATTTTTCATGTTTCGCTTTGTTGTGTCGTGCATGTTTTCATGATTTCCCCGTCACCATTCATTGAATGCACATCTGGGGCCTGACACGCTGACCTTGGGGCTATTTTTTCACCAATTTAGCTCATTAATGATCACCATTAGTCGCTGTTTCGATTGTGTTCCTTGTTACAAGTTGCATTTTTCATACATATATTTTTTGTCATACGTGGTTGTCGAACGACGAGTTTTATTTTGAACCCTAAGACAAAATTGTAGGAAATGCGAGGCTGTTGTTCGGTCTCATATTACATGAGGCTGAAAAGGCCTTTTATTGCGTGGATTTCCAGCAGAATCCGCCTTCCGAAATTCCAGGTTCCATTCCAGGAAACCATTTCGTGTGAACATGCATCTGGTTGTCAGTTAGAGCAGGAGGGGGGGGGGGTCGTAACTGGACCCTCTTCGAGGGGGGGGGTCGTACTCACACCGCCATTTCGCACATCCCCATGCTGTACCCTGATACTGCTGCACCGCACGCCGAAAAATTGGGAGAAACGAAAAGTCAGGTTTGCTAGTACCAAATTTGAAGTTTGTTAGTATAGGAGCTTCTGAGTATATATACCATTTTAAAGGAAGAACCCGCGATTACTCGCCATCTCAGATGGTGGATTAGGGGGTTCCATATAGACGACAAGGGGTTGAGTAACTCGACTGTGAACAAAAAAAGCACAAAAAACATGCCACCTGCCCTAGATAGAACCCCATTTCGATCCCAGTTTGTACGTGCCCAATCAACTCTATCTCCAAAACTACGCCCTCATATGCACGGCTGATTCACCGATAAGATTTCTACGATCGTACAAGTGGCGATTATCATGCTTTTTCGTCCTGCAATCTCATTTTTCACTGGAAGTCGGTCATTAGGGGCGGAGTCTGGAGGCGGAGTCACTGGAAAAAAGGAGGAGCCACTGAACCTATATTGCGCTCCCTCATAGAATTTTTTGCCGCGAAACCGGTACAAGGTTGTTCGTCGCGGACCACTCTAACCTCCTGACGCCATATTTTCAACTTCGATACCTGATCGCGAACCGTGCCTTTAACTCTGAATCGGACACTACTCAAACCAAATCGGACCCTTTTCAAATCAAATCGTACACACCCCTTACAGTGGGCAGTTGAGAACTAGACCACACTAGGTACACCTGAATTCCCACTTCTCGCGGTCGTGGTTTTCCAAATGTTTTATGGAATCTGCTTCTTCGACTTTTTCTCACTTTGCTAGTTGCACACTTCAACTGAAAAGGATTGGTACCGATACAGATCTGACTCCGCCCACTTCACAATCAAGTGACGGAGTTATGAATTTTTATATCGTCTTTCGTTTTTTCATATTCAATCTTCACAACGAATATAGCCACGCTTTTACACACTAGCACACTAGGCCCCGCCCCTCTGACCACGCCCACTTTCGTTTTTCGCGGAATTTTGATTTTTCTTCCGAATTTTCACTTTTTTAGGCTGTGACAAGCGGCCCCGCCCACTAATGGAAGCTCCGCCCACTTTGTAGAAGCCCGCCCACTTTTCGAAAATGATGCAGCTCGGCGAGCTAGTGACCGTACTAGCAGGTTATGGCCTCTCCCGTCACATAGAATGAAAAAAAGGAAAGACCACAAAAAAGGGAAACTTTGTTCCGGGTGACGGGAGAGGCCATAACCTGCTAGTACGGTCACTAGCTCGCCGATCTGCATCATTTTCGAAAAGTGGGCGGGGCTTCTACAAAGTGGGCGGAGCTTCCATTAGTGGGCGGGGCCGCCACAGCCTAAAAAGTGAAAATTCGGAAGAAAAATCAAAATTCCGCGAAAAACGAAAGTGGGCGTGGTCAGAGGGGCGGGGCCTAGTGTGCTAGTGTGTAAAAGCATGGCTATATTCGTTTTGTGAAGATTGAATAAAAAAACCGACGTCGAAAGAAGTTATAAAAATTCATAACTTACGTCACTTGATTGTGAAGTGGGCGGAGTCAGATCTGTATCGGTACCAATCCTTTTCAGTTGAAGTGTGTGTGCAACTAGCAAAAGTGAGAAAAAGTCGAAGAAGCAGATTTCATAAAACATTTTGGAAAACCGTGACCGCGCTGGAAAGGTGGGCGGGGTGTTGGGGCGGGGCTTGCAGCAGTACCTAGTGTGGTCTAGTTATCAACTGCCTATTGTAAGGGGTGTGTCCGATTTGATTTGAAAAGTGTCCGATTTGATTTGAAAAGTGTCCGATTTGGTTTGAAAAGTGTCCGATTTGGTTTGAAAAGTGTCCGATTTGGTTTGAAAAGTGTCCGATTTGGTTTGAAAGTGTCCGATTTAGAGTGAAAATGGTATTAATCTAGGTACAGGCAAATGAACGCTCGTAACTGCTGAAGTAAAGAGTTTGAATACATCTGTTACGCTTACCTTTGTCATGATACTGTTCACTTGCAGCGGAGTCCAAGTGGTTCCATCTGAAGAACGAGAACCTAACCGTCTTCATCTCGACGCGACGTCGTCGATGAATAATCCATCATCGACGACGTCGAGTCGATGAAGACGGTTAGGTTCGAAGCCATTTGATGGATAACCTTCAGGACAGCAACGATAACGACTATTTGTGGAGTGCTGTGCAAAGTGCGCGTTTGCAGTGTTTCGTTTCATTGAAAATTGATATTCCGGTAGCTGTCTGATGTTAATTCCAAAATAAAAGCCATTCTAATGTTAAAATTAGCTTACCATAGAATCGCCTTTCACTGGTATCGGTGGCGTTGAATGACTGCTCTCACGGACAAGGTAAATGTTTACTTTTCTCTATCAATAGAGGGATGGCTGCAGTTATGTTCATAGAAGTATCTGAACTCGAATATCATAGTTCTCTCCGGTGGTTGTATCGTGGGAAAAGCAAGGACTATCCAGTCTCGAGGTTGCAGGTGATGTGAACCCTGCTCTGAAAACATGTAGTGTAAGGAGGCAATACTACTGTGTCTGGCAGTTGCTCGACTTCTTCCTCTCCCATTCCGTCTGAGGCGAAATTTTCCGAAAGATGGTAGGTAGGTTATGAGAAGGGATCATACCTGTACCAGTTCGTGAAAGCGGCTATCCCATACAGACTGAATGCTCGTCTGACCTATAACATGTATGCAGAAGGGGCCGTTATTACTGTCGCTGTTCCACTCTAGGGCCAATCCATCACCACACTCTTCTGTTCTATTCAGTCATTTGCACTTCTGTTTTTATGAAATGAATTTTGAAGACTTGCAAAGGATATGTCTCGATGTCCTACTGTTTGCTCTTCGTCATAATGCTGTGCTGCCAACTTGGAGCAGTCTCATGTAGAAAGCCAACGGATCCTTTTGTTGGAGACGATACCTGGGAAAAAGAAGAAATAGACCTTTGTGATTCGCCGAAGCAAAGGAGCACTGGTGAGCAATGCTTATCTGGTTCTTCCCAGTGAAAGGGACTTCCTACAATCCCCTAAAGTTTAAGGGGTCATTCGCTTGAAGGATCACCCTGCGGTTACGTCATAAGTTTCGTGGTCAGAATATGAACTTGTTGTGGGTTTACTGAGTTACCAATGAAGAAAAGAGATGGCAAAATCATCGATGACGTCATTAATAGGATCACAGATTTGTCGAGTATTCCAAGTAGCGAGAGAGAAGTGACAAAGTTGCGGCAAGATGAGCTGGAAGCGAACAGACATCAAAAGACGGTGGACACAGAAAGAAGGCAACATGCAGCTTTTGTGCTTCCAATTATATGTAGGACAGCTGACGTACGCAGGAAACGCGCAAAATAGAGCTTTTTTGACCACTGTCAACTGGTAGTGGAAGAAGATACGCTCGGTCTAGATGCTCGCTAGTCAACGATTTCCGAAAAAAAAATCACGGCAGTAGCAACATAACCGTACAGTGACATTGTACCTGAAAGAACTGGAAAGAACCTTTGTCATTAACGAGGACACTTCAGTGAAATTACCAAGAATGGGTGGTAATTTCACTGTTTATATCTTTTTATCCTGTCACTGTTTATAAAATGAGTTAAGAACGTACACGGTCAAAAAAGGGAGACAAGAACGGCCGTGCTGCTAAGAAACTTGCAAAATATCTGAAAAAGACAGCTTCGTTACTCTAAAGAACTTTTTCCCTCAGACGGGCAAAGTGAAAAAGTTTCAGCAGCAAAGCGCAAGTGATAGGTATGGATTCTGAGCAAGCGCCGGCAGAGGCATTCACCTATGGAGATGGAGGTTTTCAGAGGACCAGCCATAAAAATTTTAGGCGTGGCAAAGTTGCTCAGTGTACGCACTTTTTTTACAAAACGCACCAAACAGAGCATACCTTACACAGAAGTCCCGTTTATTTCTTTTAGGCACTTCTACCCTATACTCTAAGAAGAACATCTCGTCCGCATAACTTTTGATACCAACTACATCAAATTGCTTCCCCTCAATTTTTACCTATTCTTTGCTTTCAGGGGAGTCTTGCTACACTCACATTATTAATTACCAGAAACTTAAACACAGAGGTGATCAGCAGGGATCCAATAGTACTTGTTCTTCATGAGTTTATTTCGAAGCAGAATATTGATGAATTTCTTGCTGAAACTAGAGAAATGGAGATGGAAATGGAAGTAAGTACATATATGTAACCCTACAAATAACGCACTATAGACAGGATGCAGGACGATATAAGAGAAGGTTCTTTGAGCTTGAACCTCTCTTCAGTTATGTTTAGACGGTGGTAGACTATAACAATGAAGTGAGCTATGACAACGCAAGACAAGCAAATGGAACGTGGATTGCGAACGAGGAGACCATTGCAGCATCGAAAGTCTTCCGAAGGGCAAAGTCAATGATGCCTTTCATCAATTTTGACCCTGGCGATTATTGGCAGGTACCGTTCACTATTATTGGTGTATAGGTGACTTTCATGTGAACTTCCTCGAAGCATAGCTAGCATTCTACAAAAGAAAAAATTATGAAGCCATGATAATTGGGTTAGACTGGTCGGAGTGTCCTGTCACTGTTATGGTTTTTTCCTTTTCATGTTTTATTTCTCTATGCACAGGGAATGTATCATACTAAAACAACTTCAAAGCAAAGGAAATCATTCCACAACACAACTGTTAGCTACTGCAATGCTCCAACTACCGGTCAGGTCACTGATCACCTTCTCTCAGTACTTAAAACGGTGGGAGCCAAAGCAGCAATCGATCAATTGAACTAAGTCATCGAACCTCGAGAGAATGCTTTTCAGCAAAAAAAAGTTCAGGAAACCTTAACCTCCGAGATAAACGCAATGCTCCCCTCCGTCATGGTCCCTGCGATTTGCGAGATGAATAGGTCTTCTTCTTGCCTACCTCAGACCGCGCCGTGGGATTTTCTGAGCGCTGGCGGAGTCTTGAACGGCACCCGTAAAATACTACCCATCAGTCTTAGTTCCGCGCTCTCTCAAGTGGCGAAAGTATGAACCTTGCACAGTTCGCTAAAAACCACAAAAATGCAAAAAAGGCAAAAAAAACATATGATATCTGGTCGAGTACTAGAATTTCGAGAGTTGGCACACCCTCAGCTTGTGCTAGAGCACGCTTTCCGCCGCGGTACTGGTGCTAGCTGTTTTGCGGTGTCCTTTCGAAATGCGCCAGAAACTCGGTAAACTACTCTTTTCTGAACATCCATAACTTTTCCTGAGAGGATTTCATGCCTTGAACAGCCACAACTTTTTATATGTGACGTTTTCGCAAAAATAGAAATAGTCTTGTATTTTGAAAATTTAATGTTGCGTTTTTGTTGGGACAGATTCCAGCGACGCGAAAAGTCCACCCATCCAGTGCGGTACCATTTACAGTTTGTTTAAAGACTCGAGTAAACTTCTAAAAGACATGCTTCCGTCGAATCATCAGGAAATAGTTCATTCGGCGTTGAGTGACATTCCCCTGTGTTGCGCCATGCATCTGTCTTCCACACAGAGGTGTTTGAAGGTGTGACTTCTAAGGCTTAGTGCAACACGAACGCTCCTTCGGTCCAGAAAGGTGCGAGCATATATGTGGGTGGCCACTGCATTTCTTGTCCTCTCCCACTCCCAACTACTGGCTTGCAACTTGCATTTGCCTTGAAGTGTCTCTTCACGTGTTCTTCCAACAAGAAAAATGAATAATATTTTATCATTCAACGAGTGCGCAGCATCTGAACATAGCTGATCCTTCCACTCCTGAATGAGCCTTGCCCATAACCCTCACCTACTTCGCGGTCAAATAGTGCTCCCCGTTATTAAGGCGTGACCTGGTTCCCATACGTCCTGTCATTTGACGTAGGCGCGATCTCTCAATGTGCAGCGGTAAGAGTAACCCTGAGCCGGTTGTGTATAGTCACATAATCCTGGTCATGTTCACACTACAGCAAATGCTGTTGCAAAATGCACACAAAAATCTCTTATTTGAGTCCTTTAAAGGCAGTTGGCACGATAAATCCCCCAAGACGACTAGGATCAATACTCCTGGCAGGATAGAATTCCGCGACCCTGGGCAGGCGCTGCATAGCGGTTTCCCCGAGGAAGGTGCCCTTATAAGGGCCCTATCAAGCCACAACTTTACGTCCCAAACGCCCGCTACGCCCGCCCGCCCACAAATGGACACATATATGGGTACACATATGCAGCCGTATCTTCGGTAGCGGTGATTGGCAAGATGGCTACGGGAAACTTGTCCGAAATCGATCAAGTCAGGATTTTGACCTTCTCACTCCGTTCTTTCGCCATTTTCCCACTATAGCGCCCTACTAGCATTTTAGGCCGTGCTAGGAAACCATCGTGCCAACTGCCTTTAAGAGTGAAGTTTTCTCGAACTGTAGTTATCTTTTTTGTAGATTCTCTCGTATCGAAATGCCGGACATTTTGCACCCCATTATGACTATATCATCCCGAAAGCGGATGAGGATTATGAGTTCAACCTCGTTGGACGCCGGTTTGCAACGTTTCTACTGCTCCTTCAGAAAGCTGAAAGCGGAGGAGGTTAGTTTTGCTAGAGCCAGCACAGTGCTGGTGAACCAAATGGTATTTAATGAAACTTGTACAGGTCTTTTTGTGAAGACCTGGAAGATCCTACGATCAAAGGGTTCTCTCGCACCATTTCGCAACTTCCCATGGGTTCACAGGCCTCACAAGGTTATCTGTCAACTCGATGTGAACTGATAAAAGGAACCTGCGAAAGGGCGAATACCCAGGTAGCGCGTCTGCTGAGTGCGTGCCTCGCTGCAGGATCTCTGTATCGCCACAAGGCCTGCACATCAGGGATAGCGCGGCTGGAATTTGGAGGCGACGCATGGGTATCGCTACCTTCTGATTCCTTACCCAAGCAATTTTGAACTGAGGGCAAAAAATAGTGGTCATCGATGCCTGCAACCGCGACCACTATTTTTGCGACCTTGTGAGGGCTCGGGTTCTTGTAATCCGAGTGACTTAGTCATACCAACTCGCAGATTTACAAGAACTTAGATGTATCGCCAAAGCTAGACCTGTTGAGTGAGTTGAGATCTACTGACATTAACTAGCAGAAGGAACCAGCAAAAGTGAAAAATTCCACCCCTCCATCCCCTTCCCCTCATCTTAGAGCGTACAGCACTGCACTAAGCACCTATTGACGGCTGCAAAACGTGCAAAACGTTCTGGTCCGATAGAAATCACCGATGAAGTAATTTTGGTTAATTTTTTACAGGAACGGTCTTTCCCACTATTGGAGACAACAGTGATACCCTCACCTGGAGACGTAATTTTTTGGATCAATGTAGATGTCAACGAAGAAGATGTAGGCTCCTTTCCTAGCCTTTTCCGCTTTCTGATACCTTTTCGGCTTTCCGGGTTTTATTCTCTAAATCCGTTGATTGAGCCCTTCTATCAGCTAGTTCTTTACAAAATGTGCCGCCAGTAGTCTATGGGTGGAAGGGGAATCCGGAGGTTTGAAGGACTCCTCCTGCAAAACTGGAAATAATAAATTTATCCAAATAGAATGACCGCACTTCAAACTAGGGGAAACCTCATGTTCATTACGGTGTTTCAAAATTTGCCCACGGAGTCCATTGCATTGTTTTGAAAATCTCCCTTGTCTCATGACTAGGAGAAATGCACATTTAGGCACGCGAAAGCTTACATGGTGGATGTCCAGTATGGGAAGGAGAGAAGGTAGCAGCAGTAAAATGGATTTTGGTTGAAGACCAGGAACTATTTCAGTCTGCATCCGAAGATGGAAGATTTGATATCGAAAAATTGATTTATCCTGCGACGAATTATTTCCATAAGAGATCAATGTATGGGAAATGTGTAGCAAGGTGATCAGCGTTCTCGTTGAGATACTGTGCTCAACTTGCGCCGTGCCTTGAGATACTGCGATTACACCTGCAATTGCGAGGGCGTGTGAGGAGTCATGGATTGGAGTGCATCCTGAGCGGCTCCTTCCACCAGTTGATGCCGAATTGAGCCCGCAATTCTTGCTGGAAAAGGTTCTCCTGGCTACGCTCCAATCCACTCCTCTTCATACGCTTCTCTTTTGCAGCGATAACAAACGCTCTTGTTTTTTTGTGGGACAAACAATAAAATATGGAAATTTTGTTAAATGGTCAGCAAGGTTATATTCGAAGAACAAGGAGAGGACGTCGACCTTTTCATTAATACCATCGAAAACACCCAATATTCATTTTATTGGTTAATTCAAAACAGGTTCTTCCGAACAGGTTCACAAGAAGACGAAGAGCCCCAACAAGATCATGTTCAAACTTGAGTAATGGCGCCTTGCGGTGGCAGAACGTGTCACTAGGTCCTAATCTAGAAGCTCAAGAAAAAAAATCCTTTCTATTCGGTGCCACCAGGAGATCCTGGTTTGATAACGGCTCCGACTGTAGCTACCGATGCATACGAGTTGCTTGCATATTACGTGACATTTCCATTTAGAACGCCACCCCTTTCATTCTCCTCTGTTTCTGTTCCGCTTTCTGTTCTTGTTGATCGCGCGGTCGCGGAGTTAAATCCTGGGCCAAGCCAACGAAACCTTTTACCCCCGGGAGTAGTAAATTGGTACCAGATTTGTCTAGGAAGACAAAAACACTGACTTCAAACTTAAGGACTTTGGAAATGATAACAAGGGTTGCAAATGTAAAAGGAAATGCAGGAACATGTGATATAACTAATACAGATAATTACATTGTATCGAACGTTACAAATTTATATATTAACACATATAAAGAAGCAGATGCAGATTGTAACGCTAAAAATGTAGTGTACTGTTTGACATGCAATGGCTGCGGAATACAATATGTTGGAATAACAGTAAGAAAATTGAAAGAAAGAATTGGCGAACATCTTTCCAATATCTCTTCACACAAAGTACACACACCATTATATAATCACTTCTATAAATGTGATAAGGGCATAACGGTACAAGTACTAGACTGTATGTAGTCTAACGATAAAACTACTATAAAAGGAACTATTTCTGTGCTGCGTTGCTCAACAAACGGTTTAGGGCCTAAAACATTCATTCACTGCAGTGATTCGTGGGTGTTCTCGTATAAAATTTGCTCGGAATGCAGTTAGTTGTTACAAGTGTATATAGGTCTTGCTCACTGTGAACGTGAGGCGTGTCAGTTGGGAGGGGGGAGAGGGCCAGCTGGTTTCGACGCGGCCAAGCCCGTTTTTTCACCATGTTGTCGTTTGCCCGCCTTAGCGATTCGTATAGAACGGGCGCCGCGCCGAACCCTGGCCTCCCACCCCAGGGTACAGCATGTTGTGTGAAACACTTGGGGAAGGTCGTACGGGTCGCGCTTGGCCACTGGGAATGGTGTGGGGGGGGTACTAGTCTTTAGTCGCTCTTGTGAGGGATCGTTTGTGCCCCCTGCCCCTCTAAATTTGCCGCATTGGGAAAAAATTTTTCCCGGTTTACCTTCCGTGATCCCGTTCACATGGCATTATATTCCCCTCTCTGGATGGAAAACTGTTGTGTGAAAAAGTGGAAAATAAGGGTAATTTCGAAAAAACTGGTAGGAAGCTGGGAACTTGTAGGAACGTACGTGGTAGGTGCTGAGGAAGGGGGGAGGGTCGCACCGAGACTCGCCTTCGAGGGGGAAGGGGGTGGTTGTACCGTTATCTCCATTTCACACCATCACGATTCTGTACACTGTGCCTCCATCCCCTCCTGGCACGCTTCATCATCCGCGGCGAACAATACTGTATGTAGCTATAAAGCCCGTTGTTTTTGCATTCAATTCTAAGATTGCGCACGAGTCAAAGCAAATTTCAGCCCCTCCTGGGTCGGCCAGATAGTAACGGATGTGTGTAGGGCAAGAATAACGCAGGCGCTTGCACATGTTCAGCTTCTGTGGTCTTCGGAGCAAAGATGGGATTGAATGTGAAGAAATCTGAACCGAACAGTTATTGAGCTTTTATCGTTGGAAACTTACTTGTCTTTGACTTTCTAGGCTCGAGGCCAATCAACACGTCCAAATGTAGGTCCATTAATTGATATGTCCACTGGTGGCCACCGTAATCCTTCATGCAAACCAAGCACACCATGTATGATTCAGATTTAGACATTCAGATTAGTGCAGACGTCTGCGCTTCACA